ATTCCGCAAATAGAAAAATTATGTGATCCCCTTTAATATGGAAATCTTTCGTGTGAAATGTACATACTTAATAAAATCGCACCTACCTGCAAATTTTATGACTGACCTAATCACATCGCACGACACAAATACGCCGGCCATCTTTTCCGTTCAATCTAGAACTCTTTAAGTTCTTTAAATCATGCTAAACACAATTTCAATATTTTGGAACGAAATTCCTTTACCTTTCTCTTTCTCCTTCTTTCTTTTCGTTCTCTCATCCCTTCTCTCTCTATTTTGTAATTATTTCTATTTCAATGTAATTTTATGTTGTCAAACAAAAATAAAGAGACATATTTTGTTATTTCAATTGATAATTTGAATTATGTTTTTTTTTTTTACGTAATTTCTTATTTCCTAAAATACTGAATTTTCTAAATACTTTCCTGCACTTAAATAAAAACTAATCAGCAAAATTTAAGAGAAAAATCAAGAAAACCTACATCAAATTGAGCACGATTTTTTTTTTGCAAATTGAGTCGATTCTACGTTAGCCGAAGGAACTTCGTTCCTACCTGGTGTCCCACGACACCACATCTTTATTTATTTTTTCAATTCACACATTGCAACCGTAAAATATGTATCAACAACATAATTACCCCCGAAACGTTACGAGTCAAAGTGACCCCAATTATATAAGAGATTAGATAGATATCCATATTAATAGCTATTAAACTAACATTATAATATCTAGAGGTAGATTTAAAGTTAATTAATAGACTTAGGTCTCGATAATCGAACTTGTCTTCACTGACGCAAGGTTCAAAGTTCATTAAATACTTATTGTTTGGTTCGTGTCAGCAGTGAACAAACGCATCTATCGCTCATGCCAATAACATTGTGAAAATATTGTAAGCAGGTTACCATGAATGCCAATGTTTGATATAGATATGTCAATCTAGTAAAAATCGCAAGCGTATTTGTGTTGCAAACAGTCTTTAATTTACTTAAATATGTTTAAAAATTTTTTTTATTTTCATTACGCCCAATTCATATTGGCACGCGTAATGTCCAATGCATTCGCTACCAGATAATTGCTGCCGAAAAGAACGTTGTAGGTGAAGTGGTTTAGAAATTAAAGTAAAAATACATAGTTATCATTATTCCAATTTTACTATAACAATTGTAAATTATACTCACGTTGTAATAATGTCTACAGCTCATGTAACCGCTCAAGATCAGACTTTTTTATTGCTTATATGTGTGCTAAAATAGAAATATCACTAAAGCGCTCAGCTAAATATCACTAAAGCGCTAAATTAATGAGGAAATGCGTGAAAAGGGTGTGATGCAGAGATGACTATCATAGACCTGCTAGATAGAACATGCTATGTCAACCCTAAGTAGTAGGATAAGGGCAAGAAAAGGAAGACCACATCCGCACTGTCAAGAGTTAAACAAACAAGCACTGCCTAACAGATCCGATCCACTGTGAACTCTTTTTTTTTATTGCCCTTGTAGGCAGACGCGCACACGGCCTACCTGATGGTGAGCGGTTACCGTCGCCCATGGACTTCAGCAATGTCAGAGGCAGAGCCAAGCCGCTGCCTACCGAAACCAACCCACCTAACTACCGAACTCTTCAGCCCATCTCAGATAGTAAAGAGTAATTCGAAGTGACATTGACATGACCATATCACATGACAAGGATTATTACAAACATAAATGGCACCAGTAATTATCACGTACACATAATAGTCTCAACACGTACAGTCATGAACTTGAGCTTGTGAGAGTAATTAGGCCATAAAAACCCGCTAATTACGAGACCGCTTAAAGATTATCTCGTCGACGTCTACGACAGATCCAAGTTCGATTCCTATTCGGGGTCAGTATCTTCAAATAAAAAGGGTGCGTGTACTTATGTACGCGCGTAAGAAGTTATACTTTATTTTTATTAATTTTTTTTTTTTTTTTAATTTTAATCAATTTGAAAAAAATCGATTAAACAACATCATCAAACACGCATATTGGACATCCCTTTTCTTGACATCGTATAAATTCGGTAATTCTCGGTACGGTTTGGAAAGTTCATCTGCGGCTATATTCAGNCAACTTCATTTCTGTTCATTTTGAGTCACGGTGCGCGTGCATCGTAAAATTTCACTCTTATCAATTTTTCATAACGCGCGTTAAGAAGTATATCTTTAAAAATATTTGGTATTCGATGTCTGAGTGCGTTTCCAGTATTCGTAACGCAGTAACAAATGTTAACTTGTGAAAACAATAGTTCAACACTTCAAATTTGTCTGCTTTGGTGGGAGTTTATTAACTTCTCGATCGCGTGAAAGTTAACTCAAATTTGTATGAAGTTGGAATAGCGCCCCTAGCGGCAAATGAAGGGAGGCTCGAACACAATTTTTTTTATTGCTTAGATGGATGGACGAACTCACAGCCTACCTGGTGCTAAGTGGTCACTGGAGCCCATAGACATCTACAACGTAAGTGTGCCACCCACATTGAGATATAAGTTCTAAAATCTCAAGTACAGTTACAACGGCTGCCCCACCCCTCAAACCGAAACGCATTATTGCTTCACGGCAGAAATAGGCAGGGCGGTGGTACCTACCCGCGCGGACTCACAAGAGGTCCTACTGCCAGTAAATCAATCGATCGAGAAGTTGGAGAACTTGCACTAAGCACAGAGAACGCGTTACTGATAGTGGTACCCATTTACGCGGTTAGATAGTACAACATACTACAGGACGTATTGTAAAATCTACGAAAACCTTGAAAAAGAATTCATTATGTAAATTGCGTTATTACATTAACCTCATTCACAAAAACTAGACCGCACAACGAAATTTAAGAATTTTTCAAAAGAGTAATGTTAAAAAGCTTATGTAATCTTTTGGACTTCACTTACCATTTTAATTGCTATATCTAGATATGTCTGTGTATCTGACAGCTAATTTTCAACAATGTATTGTTACGCGCTGGAGTTCGGGATAAATAAAATTCTACCGTATTACAAGTTAACACTGTATTCAACACTTAAAACACTTAAAACACTTCACTATACTTTTAAAATTCTCAATTCACTTCTTCCGCTTCGCTTCACGTGATCCGTTCGCTGTTTCGCTTCGAGTAGTTCCGATTGCTGACTGACTGCGTGCCATCCTTGCAGCGCTTTTATAGTCGATACTATATCCCTAGAATTATCGAGAATATTCCAGACATCTCTAGTATTGTGTTTCCGCTATCTGACAATAGATGGCGTTATACTCCTCGAGTGTTCTAGGTGCTACTAGATCCTTCGATGTTCGTTGGACTATACGGCGATAGATGGCGTTACTCTTACCGGCGTATCATGCAAATAACAGTTGATCAAACTTTGCTTGAGTAACTATTTTTAATTATTTTTTTTCGTACCTATTCGCTGGTAATCTAAGGGACTATTCCAGCTACGCCCAGCAGGTAGGTGAGCACACGGACTCAACCGGAGGGAATTTGCTAATACTAGCCCTAGCAAGAGCAGTGCTTCACAGAATCTACCACTAGACGGATTTGAACATTGTGCAACTACTGTCAAATTTTCCAGAATGTTATTTTTTCACAATTTGCACATAGAAAGATATTGTAGATTGATTTGTAGATTTTGTAGTTTATTTGACTTGGATTTTCATCTTCACACTAAGAAGATCCCAGGTGTTAGTTTTAATATTTTTATTTCCTTAGAAAAAAATTCTTGGGCGTTCATATCAATTATACAATACTGTGGCAATTTTTTTAACCACCCAACCAAATAGGCCTCTTCTTAGTAGAGGAGACCGGCCTTAACTACCTTTACTATAGGCGAACTCCGCAATGCCTCCCTCTCGATCCTCCCTCGCTTTCCCACACGGAGACATCACACTGACAGGACGCAACCTAATAGTTATCATATAAGTCCTTGAGGTTACTAACAATATAGGCAAATAATAATAATCTAAATAATAATTGCCTTAGCACTGCAACGGAGCGTACTATATACATTACTAAGATAATACTAATACTACAATATCTATTATTAAAAATAAATAATATTAGAAATAAGCACTACTCTATTAATTTAAATCCGTATACCAGAACTAGATATTGTTAAACCATAAAAATATTTAATAATTTATTTGTACAATGTAAAATAAAAAAGCGTATTCAATAGGATATGATATGGTTTTTCCATTTGATGTAGCACCGACACGCTAATTGTGTCTTTGGTACACCAAATAAATATAGGTATATTTAGATTCACGAAACTTACTGACGTCATCGATTCTTTTTTAAATTGAGTTATGAAACTTTTGTTGGATTTTCAATCATAATAATAATATGTTTTAACAATATTCGCTAAAATTTTCGACATTAGGCGATTCGGGTGTGGCATTTCTAATTCTCATGTTTGACGGTGACCATGATCTTTACATACCATTTACCATCAGGCTTGTCTTATCGAACTAACCGGATCCCCCGCATCTGTCTTTAATAGCATCATCTACTAACGCATATTACAAAACACGATAGGGCGATCGAAAAAATTATATTTTATATCGAATTATTTTGTATGAAAAATTTAAGTGCATATTTGGAATCTAAAATCTATGCGGTGGTGTAGTGTTGGTGGTATAATTCACGTTGTGATATGTCTATTGGTGACCACTTAATACCAACTCGGCTGTGAGCTCATTCACCCATAGACGGTATTCAAAACGAGATGCCACTATTTACTTATAAAAACATTTAATTACATACAAATTATTTAAAACATAAATACATAATACAATAATGACATAGGTATGTTTTGATTATTTTCAAAAGATTCTGTGCAGTTTTATTAGAAACACGTGATTCAAAGTCACAATACAAACATTAAAATTATCATTAGACATCAAAAGTTAAAGAAAAAGAAAATTATTTCAATCTCATTTATTTCACGTGGAGGTAATAATTTTAATGCAAACTAACATACAGTATGCGTCGGTCCTTCGTACGAGCATAAGTTTTGCAATGTCTGTCGTAAGCAGCGAACACTTCTAGAACCCGAAGGTCGGTGTATTCTATATTTGTCTATATATTACTATGTATTTCGAAATTAATGTTTCACTCAATGAAAATAAGAACCAGTTTAGTGTTAAAATTGGAAATCGCTATAGAATTTAAGTGGCCCATACTTATATGCCGAAGTGCTTATGGTAAGATTACGTTAATAAAATGCTACAGTTTTCATGTTTATGTCAAAACAAATATGTTACTTATATACTTTTTACATACGGACGTGTTATTGCGAATTCGATTTTAAGCTATTGCATAGCTTTTATCGCGGGCCTTAAGCGCGGCTTACTGTAATCATGAAATTCCGTAACGAAAAAAACCTTACGCCCCTCACTCCGCCTACCACGTAGCTCGCGTTCAACACATTCACACGTTGCGCTTGTGTAGTGTTTGTAAATAAGCGCGTGGCGTGACGTCACACTGCATGCGCATCATGAAAAGTCTGCCCATCTCTCTTTCGCGCGGTTTGGCTTATCAGTGTGAAGGGGACAGTTAATGTTTTGCTTTTATTAATGTTTAATATAGCGTGGTCTTGTTTTATTATTGTTTTAATATTAAATTATCATTGTCTAATTATAATTGCATAAGTTGATAAAAAATGCTACGCAATAGCTTTACCGCGGCAGTTCCTGAGTGCCACACGTTTGTTTTTTTTTAGTACTGGGACGTATGGAGCACGATTATTTGGAAGTGTGGTACACAAAAACATCAATTGCTTAAAAAAATCCGATCTAAAGAGAAAAATGTTTAGTAAATCAGTGCTGATAATATGATGAATTCAAAAACCTAAAGCTGAGGGTGACAGATTAATTTACCATATAAAAAGGCGTGCTAATATTGCAGGACTTATTTTCACCTGGAGTGGGTAGGTGCCACTAGCATGCCTGTTTCTACATCAATAAATTATCGCAGTATCTTTGTCACTATCTTATGACAATTATTTAATACTATATTTGAATTAACTTTATTGCACTAGGAATGTGCTCAAAGCATCTAGTATCGATTACTAGAGCCTATAGTCATTATAAGTGTCTATGAGCAACATATTAAGTAAAGGATAAGACACTTGATTAATTCACATCGATGGGCCCTTAAAAAAACTTTTTGAGCGAGGTGCTTCTCCCCTCCAGTTTTTTTTGTTTTTTTTTCATATATTTTTTTGAGTGGACGAGCTCACAGCCCACCTGGTGTTAAGTGTTTACTGGAGCCCACAGACATCTACAACGTAAATGCCGCCACCCACCCTGAGATATAAGTTCTAAGATCTCAGTATGGTTAAAACGGCTGCCCCACCCTTCAAACCGAAACGCATTACTGTTTCACGGCAGAAATAGGCAATATAGGAAATAGGTAAAAATTCTAACTTAATCTAATCTATTTAACTTAAAACAAGCTAACAATTAACTTACGGCTGATTTATCTGTCAAAATCGACCAGCATCTGTTGGTGCAGTCATCTATTGTCAATCACCAGGTCAGGTCACCAGTGACCCTCTGATCCCAACAGAATTCCCTAAGGGTCAGACACATAAGCATCAAATAATAATACATTAGTACTGTTTCCTAGTACGTTTGGATGTTTCGACTAAAAATAATAACCCTGTTCAAACTACGTCAAAGTCGGGGCATAAAGAATTATATTGACTTGTTCATTTCAATGAACTAGAGGTCCCGCAGTAGTCGAAATTCGACTATAATTAAATGAAATTGTAAGTTTGTACACTATTATGATTGTATTTTATACTTCTATAATCACAAATTTCGCCAAGACTACACTATAAAAAATATTTACAAAGACAAACAATATTTAATCTATTCTCAATTTGACAACAGACGCCAAGAACAAAAGTTTGACAATAAATAGTATGCATGCGTGTGCGCATCAATTACACGGTATGTAGTATGTGTAATATTTTCTTGATTGATTTAATGTATCTTTTATGCATTAGTTTAAAATATTAGCATTGTGCACTTCTTCTCTATATATTCTCTATAAGTGTGGAAAATTTCATACTCCTCCGTCCGCGCAATTTTCGTAAAAAGGGATACAAAGTTTTTGCTTCACGTATTATTATATAGATGTCTACCCGCCAAATTAGTATTACTATATTGAATCGTATAACTATCACGAAGCAATTTACGTGTCATCTTTGCACGTGTCATCTTGTCACATGCACTGTACAAGCGCATACATTATTTAGGAACGCTTAGAAAACAAACATTCAAACATACCATTGAATTTAAATTGATACCTAGATAAAACCTCACGTGCTAATTAATTCATCCAAAATCTAGCTTATTTCGAGAATTCGCTTAAAAACAAGTCTGCAATTATAAATATTCGAATTCAGTGACCTTGATTTTTTTAATAAATTATTTTATATGCAATATCTTAAGCATTATTGCGCATAGAGATGATGTCGTCGTATTAAGAAACCTTTATTGCGTAGATGGGCGAATAAGCTCACAGCGCACCTGGTGTTAAGTGGAGGCCTCACAACACGAATAACCCACCTTGAGTTACGAAATCGACAAGTGACGTATGACAGCCTCGCAGCATAAATAGGCGGGACAGTGGTACCTACCCAGACGGGTTTGCAGTAAATTTTAACACCAGTAAATAAAGCAATGGTACATACCACAGTACCCTCCATACTATCCTTGGTTGACCAGTTAATAATTCCTTAGGCATTAAGACCACCACTGTACTTTTGTGCAAAGTTAAATTAATTGCCAAATATAATTAGAGATAAACTAGAAAAAAATTTCAAAAGAATAGCGGAATGTCTGTACAATAAAACTTTTTTTTGCATTATCAACATTCATTTATCTTAATATATTACCGTATAACCCTTCGTAATGATGTAACATTCTAGATTAGTTAATTTTTACTGGTGGTAGGACCTCTTGTGAGTCCGCGCGGGTGGATACCACCACCCTGCCTATTTCTGCCGTGAAGCAGTAATGCGTTTCGGTTTGAAGGGTGGGGCAGCCGTTGTAACTATACTTGAGACCTTAGAACTTATATCTCAAGGTGGGTGGTGCATTTACGTTGTGGATGTCTATGGGCTCCAGTAACCACTTAACACCAGGTGGGCTGTGAGCTCGTCCACCCAACTAAGCAATAAAAAAAAAAAAAAAAAATTATAATCATTAAGTACAGCAGCATAATAGTCATTTACTTTCTAATTATCTCAGATTATTTATTTCATTGCATCAATATTATAATATTTGAGACAAAAAAAAACTGTTGTTACCCACTATATTACAAAGCTGTTTACAAAGTGCGCAAATGAAATTTATCTACAGACACAATCTTAAAATTAAATACCAATTATAAACACATACAAAAATATAGTAAATTGGAATCTATATTGAACGTCATTAAACTTAACAAGCATACTACGACAGAACAATTACAAACAGACGTAACTAATAGCCAATGTAAGTTGAACCGTAGTCGAGAAAAAATGCAATACTTTGACGTGTTTACAAGCTTTCAAGCCTTGTTTCAACAAGCGTACAATAGCCATCCGCGGCTATTACGTAAGTTGTAATCGACCGGCAATGACCGTCGATTATGGTAGCCAACGCAACACAGACAGACAACTTAATGAAGGATTTATTTCGGCTCCAAATTATTGTTTAAAAATAGAAGTCAACGGACGGAAAGTCATTGTCTTAAAACACTAGAATTACAAATAAAAAATTGAATAAAAAACTTGGTTTTTTAAATTATAAAGGACATGCTGAATTGAAACTTAACAGATCTGCAGTGTTGCAACTTTACTAGCACATTGTAGGATATTTGTTTGTTTATTTGTGTCATTCTCTTAAGTCTGGGCGATATTCAAGCAACATCAACCATTTAAAACCGGGTGATCAGTGACCTTGACCCACTATTTTTAGTGCTTAGACAGGTGAAGCTACCTGGACACCAGAAGTTTCAAACTATATTGTATAACGGTCATTCTATCCTTTGAACCAGAACGCACGTCTGCTTCGCGGCAGCAATAGGCAGGATGGCGATACCTACCCGCACGGGCTAATAATACAAACTTGTTGTTTTGGGCCACGAGCCGAACCTCTTACGAGGTTCCTGCACCATCGAGCGCGTTTGGTATGTGGTTCTGGGCGGGCCACAAATGTTGGAAGCGGACCGCGGGCCCAAAGGATGGAATTTAGTCCCTACTTACTAAGCGACTCCCCTGCACTTTCACCCAAGCGCTCGACCCCTCGGGGTCACAAAGCGGTTGGGTAAGAGGGCTACCGGAGTCAACCTGACTCACGGCTCACCTCAAGATCACTCGGCCAACGGACGCATAATACCGCTGGTGTCCCGGGTTGCAATACACCCATCACCAATATTTTCTCGGTTGTAACATTGCATAATTATTCAGAGAAACCACAACCCTCATGTATCACGATGCAGATACCGAATGAAGCAATAGCATAATTAATAAAGTTTCAACATTCAAGAGATCAGAACTGTAGATCTTAAAGCTAAAACTCGCGGTTATATTCCCAACTGAAACAGGCAAGTCGGTGGTACAACCACGTCTCGCCACTAACAGTTACAAAAATTCATAAATTCTATCGATTTCATCGGCTGTTACACAAGCCAATGAACATTCCGCGCATTAGTATTTCATATACCAACGCATTCAGAGTAAAAACAAGTTAGTAAAATCAACCTTCAAGGCAATTTATTACGCAACACCCAAAAACAATTTACCTCTGATTTATGAAGTATAATATAAAACACGCGTTTCACAAAGCCCGCTTCACACGATTGTAATTATTGGGTATTCAAAAAACTAATCATTAGACGCGATTTCCTGAAGACACTATTTACAATAAATGTGATTTTAAGAATCCGAAATAATAATATCTAAGGATCATCTTGAATAGCTTTTATGGGCAGATTTAATTAATTAGTACCGGATCAAAGTCGGTATGTTTCTAGTACTGTCTTATCAACGCTACGTGGCGTGA